TGTCCCTTTTTTTCAGAATTTTTTCGGTACTTATTTTTTTTTTCAGGTTCCTTTTTTTCAGAAATTTCCCTTTTTTATTTTTCTTTTCCCAAAATTTTTTTTGATTTTGTTTTATTATTAAATAAAGAAATATAAATATATTTATCATACAAAAATTATTATTTTTTTAAAAAAATCAAGTAACATATAGGAAAATTAACCAACATTGATAGAAAAATTGATTAAGGTTTTTTCAATTAAATTAAACGCTGGATAAATAGTTTTGATTTTTAAATTCATAAAAATCAAAAAAATTGATATTTTATAATTAGTTAATTGAAGAAATTATTGATTTAATAATAGATTATTATAATCAAACCCATATCCGAAATTTTTTAAATAATCACCAGATTTTTGAATAAAGATTTTAATTCAAATGGTTTAGTTAAATTAATAATTTATCGAGTAAAATGCGTATCAAATAATAATAATAAATGAAATAAACAGATTCTAATACATTTAATTGTTCAAATATTTTTCCTAAGTTGGTTATAAGTTTAAGATTGACGTAATATTAAAATAATAAGAAATAATTATAAAATTTATAATTAATTAACAATAATATTTGTAATATTTTCATAATATCGAAAATACTTTTGATAATTATCTTTCACAATTTCTTAATTAATTCGAATTTCATTCTACACTCAAACGTCAAATCATTAATATAAATAGCTACATTATTGTAAATATAATTGGGAATTGCTAAACATCACCTGGGCGATTGTCGCCTGGGTTTTTTTGTTCAAATATGTCACATGATTTACCATATATACAGAGTAAATTTATTAATCGGCTGACGGCTGATTTTTTCAACTTAGTTAATTTTTGATCGGCTAAACTTAAAATTTTATCTCAAAAGATATTTTAAAAAAAATTTTTTTGCAAACATATTTATTCAAAATAATCTTATCTAATGAAATTTTATTTGCAAATATTAAAATTTAAATCACACATTTACGATTTTAAAGAAAAAATCACTATTTATTTTTAATGAAGTGATACTATAAAAGAAAGATATTAAGTAAATTACAATGATCAAGAAGAAAGATGCTAATAAAAAAATGAAATAACAATGAAGTAATGGAAAGTAATAGAAGATGAAAGGGAGTAAAAAAGAGTAATATGAATTGATAGGAAACAAAAGGAGTAATAGGACATGACCCTATAAAAAATAAATGTCCGGAAAATGTCTACGAAAATGTCCGGAAATTGTCCAGAATAAATCTGGCATGTCCAGAAATTGTCCGGAAAATGTCTATTCTTTGCTACAAATTTGATACCTAAAATTTTGACATATCCGGACTTTGTCCAGAATATATCCAGAATTTGTCCAGTATAAAATTTTGGACAAATTCCGGACAGATAAACCTGGACAAATTCCGGACATGAAAAAATTCTGGACAAATTCTGGACGCTACTTCCAAAAAAGGATAAATTAATTTTGTAAAAAATTGCAAAAAGCACAAGACTGACATTCATAACCTTCTTTGTCATACTAATTAAATTTGCTGAGCAGGCAAAAATACTATATATCTATGATAAAAAACTTTAGGTTAAAAGCAATTATAATGATGGTTACCTGTTGATCATCTTTTGTGCCAAATTTTATGAAAAAATATTTCAGGTCAATTTCCGGACAAATTCTGGACAAAATGAGTGTCCGGAAACGAGTGTGTTTTCGGAACAATTTCCGGACATGGTACCTGGCATTTTCTGGACATTTTCTGGACAATTATTTAGACAAATTTTCCGGACATATTCTGGACAATTTCCGGACACTTATTTTTTATAGGGTGATGGGAGATGAAAAGGAGTGATAGGAGGATGAAGAGAAGTGATGGAAGACGAAATGGAGCGATGGGAAGATGAAAAGAAGTGATGGGAAGATGAAGAGGAGTGATGGGAGACGAAAAGGGTGATGAGAGACAAAAAAAGTTATGAGAAAATGAAGAGGAGTGGTGGGAGACGAAAAAGAGTTATGAGAGACAAAAAGAAATGATGGGAAGTAAACAGGAGAGAAAAAGAAATAATGGAAAACGAAAAGATGTAATAGAAAAAAATGAAGTTAGTAAGAAACGAAATATAAGATAGAAACAAAATAAAAAAAAATAAATAAATAAAAAAAATATTTTTATTTAATTGTAGAACCGAAAGAACTAAAAGATCTAAAAAAAAATGAAATAAAATTAGTTAAAAATGAAATATGAAACAGAAACAAAATAAAAAAAAATAAAAAATAAGAAACGAAATGTAAAGTGAAAAACAACTGAACCTTAATTGCAGAACCGGAAGGACTAAATAATGAAATAGAGTTAGTAAGAAACAAAGTGTAAGAATGTAAGTTAGAAATAAAAATAATAGAAAAAAAGAAAAATACCTCGAGACCGAAAGAACCAAGGAAACGAACCTCGAGCCTATAATTAAAGTAATCATGTGGCCAATCTGGGCAATCAAAAATATTAAATCTGCCGCGTGATCGACCCAGGCGATGTTTTAAAATTCCCAATATAATTTATATCATTCTAATATTGTAATTATAATTTAATACATATTATTTTATTAATTTTTGTTAACTAATTATTACCTATATAAATTCCTAATTATAAACAAAAAAAACTCATTGGTTCCGGCTAGTATGATAAAGCTGCACAATTTATATTATATTAACCATAATAAAAAAAATTAGGGTAACATGCGTGGTAATTGGTATCGTATTCTTACTATAATATCGTTATTCGTTTTCTCTAACTAATGACTTAAAATTTGAACGAACATTTTTTAACCATAAATGTCTTTTTGGCTTATTACATGACTCTTCTTTTAAATATGAGTTTATAAAAAAGTTATAGTGAAGAGTTGATTATTTATCTAATTGATTAAACTTACATGCTTGTCCAAATTTAGTCTATAAATATATATTTATTATTAGTCAGTCCAATGATTTTATTTGAATCATATCATTGCTGACTACTAGAATATGTTAAATATTCATGTAAACAACTAAATATACGTGATTTAAAAAAGTTGCCGATAAAAACGTTAATGTGAAAAATAATTCATGCACATCATATGATTATTATCCTTCTACTACATTTTTATTTTTATTATAAAGACAAGCACAGAGGTGTAATTCTTGATGAATGGTGATTTTTCATGTTTTTACTCCAGAAAAATTCAGTTGCCATCCAGTTGTAGTAGGAATTTTTGTAACGCTAACGGTAAAGTTATCATTTTGGGACGCTGCTATAAAAAGATTTTTTTAACCAAAATTAAATTTTTTTTTTGTTCTCTTCAGTTTTGTTTTAACCCGTATTTTTTAAAAAAAATTTTCTCTTCCTTTTATTTTTTAAGACCGGAGGATCTTTTTAATAATATTTTAGTTTGACGCTGCAATGTATGGTGAGTGCCTTATTTTTTCATTTTATTCTCTTTTATTTTTCTTTCTTTTTTTTTTGCTTTACCTTTTAGGTTTGAATCAGTGAATCGAAATAAATTCATTTTGGAATAAATAATAAAACTAAAAATTAATTAATATTTTTTAAATAATTTAATTAATTATTTTTTATTTATTTTTGGTTTTTTTAGCTCAATACCTATTTTTATAATCATTTTTTTTTTTTATTTTTTTTTCGGCTCAAACCCAAAAACAAAATTAGTTTTTTTTTTATCATATTATATATTTGTTGAATAGCGCTAATAATAAAAATGACTTTTTTTGCTACTATTTTTTTTTTTTTACAGACTCGTATTACTTTTAAATATTTTATTTTATATAATTAAAATTTACTACAGCTTATACAGCTTATGTTAGAGGATGGAGATAACAAAAAAAATTAAAAAAATGATCAATAACAAAAAAAAGGAAAAGCTCATTTTATAGAGCAACATATTAATATAAATTAATCTGTTGCAACGCAACAAGTTACAGCTAGTAGACTATCTAAATTAAAAAAAAATAAGAGTAAATTCTAAAGTAAAATAAATGTTATTAAATTGTTCTATAGTTAATATGATAACGAACCACATGAGATCCATCCAAATAATTGACGTTGCGAAGATAGCCCATACGGGCACGTGTTAAGGATCACGTGTAGCCATTACACTTAACGCTAAGCTTTGCTACAAATACTTTTGGTGTGGTTATTACCAATAGTTAAATCGTAAACTATGATAAGCTATAAGAAATAAAATTAACATAGCTAAATAAAAGAATTAAGCATATTTGGTTAGAAATAATTTAATATTGCTAGAGTTGCCATTCGAACAGGTACACAATGAGTGTGTCAGAAGATTAGGTGAACCGAGCTCACCATCAACATCACAAGAGACGTCTTCAACTTCTTCTTCAAAGCAACCTGAGCATCCCTCTGGAGAATTATTTTCAAAAGTCGCCATAAAATCCAAGTAAATGCCGAGACCGGCAACGCCATCAACTGTCGAATCTCCTACTATCTCTAGGAAAGTCACACTTACCCTCCCCTATTTTTTCGAAAAGTGTTAATATCATTAATATGACTATCAATAATATTTACGGCGGAGGATCAGATGAGTAAGATGATTAGGATTTTTTTGTTTCATTAATATATTATGAAATCGATGATGCTAATACAAACCTAACTATTATTTTTTTTCATCTCTGTAAAATGCTAAAATATATCTCGCGTATTATTCATTAATATAACTTATAAATACACACGTTTAAAAAATTCAAAATAAAATTCTTTATCAATATGGTATATTTTACAATTACTCTTTTATCAATTCACCGACTTTAATTACATAATATTAGATATTTTTATTTCACTTTCTCCCCTTTTATAACCTTGGTGATCCGGTGATGTTCCCAGAGCATCCCCATTTCTTAGTTACTCTTTCCACAAAGGTGTCACCGCCCCTGTAGTGGTTTGTTTTCAGTTTTAGAATTATTTTCGGTTTTAATGTTAGAATCTACGTAATTTGTACTGTAACCTAGTTCGCTTTGTGAAATAAAAATAAAATTGAATGTCACCGGTAGGGAGATGGTGACAAAACGATTTGTTCTTAAAGCCGCATAATTTGTCGTGTTTTTCGTTTCATACAGAGTCGGTATGGTTGAATTTTAGCCATTCTTCGGTGGAGATTTTTGCGGTGGATCTTATGTCGACCGAGAATTTCTTAAACTTAGTGAATCGACTATAAATCTACTTAGAGAAAATAATTATGGTCTAATGCAAATACATGATACAACAATTCTGTAATTTCATTTTACAGGAGATCAAAATGATTTTGATTCTTTTGAATTTAATATTGAAGAAATTTTTCCCGTTTTAAATCAATATTGCAAAGATGAAATTAAAGAAAAAATGGAAAAATGGATTATTGACATAAATTTTGAAGATTTAAAATCTATGTTTGACCTAAATATTCTTGTTGGAGGACTTAGTGAATCAAAATATTTTTTCTCACGATCAACCCGTTTTACGCCAAAAAATTTATCAATTACTGCGCTTTATATAGACTAAATCATTCATATGCTCCAGATCTACAAGTCTTTGATCATCCCCGACTCTAAATATTTTTGGCTATCTTAGAAGGAAAATTGTAAAAATATCATAAAAAAATATAATAATAAAATGACGTAGTCAAATCACATGTCCAGACCATAAATCAATTACGTGCCTATATACTGCGGTATAATTTTCTGAAAAAAGACACGCGCTTCGCACGTCTATTCTTTCAGCTGAATATCAACTGCACCAGGTGATCTATCTCACATGACGAAATTTTCCTCTATGCTTTACCGATACCATCCTGAATAGCATTTCGATCTCGTAATAGTCACCGTGACCCATTCACCTTTTATAGTGTTCCTTATAGTTTTTTTCTTTATGTTCATGATTGCACATAGGATAGAGTACGGAATTATTAAAATTAAATCCGTCACCACGTTCATAACTATTCCTTAAAGATAGATAAGTCCAATGATATATTTTCATTTTTCTTCAGTAAGTTAGAAATCGAAAGTCTGGATTTGCAATCACCTCTGGTATCTGTACTCATCTTTACATCAGTTAATAAAAAATGACAGAATATTTGAAAACTTTTTAACATTTTCTATAAATGAACATCTGTACCACTAAAAATGGACGTTAAAACTAACGGTTTATTAACATAAAATGACGTTCAAACTGCGGAGGGTATGCTAATAAATGATTATTGAAAGGACGAAAATAAAGAAAAAAAATCTTCGAGCGTAAAAGAGTTTGATAGATATAAACAAAAAAATTTTTAAATATTATTTTGATTTTCATACACAGTATATAAGTAAGATAAAAAAATTGAAATTTAATACTAAATACAGTATATCATTAATAAGTAATGTAATTAACGAAAAGATTTAATACTAAAATATGTATCATTAGAAATAATGCTGTAGTTTTTATAATATTTGTGTAATTTCAATAACCTGTATAACAGTTGTATAGTGCTAATAATCGTCGGCGAAACGTTTATTGCGAAATAATCCTGTAAGTGAAACGTTTATCGATGAGATAATTGTCGGAGAAATGAACCATTATAATTATTATTTATTCTATTTTGAAAGAATTAAATTTTTTACTCGCAATCGAAATCACTTTACTCGATCGGCAGGTTTAACTTTTCTACAAATTTCGCGTATATTTATTATTCCGGATGATCCCACCAAAATTAATATGGTACGATGATCCAACTGATCCGTGAAAAATTGACAATTCAGCCGATTTTATGCAAATGAACTGTGACACAAATTCATTAAAATTAATTAGAATGAATAAAATGAATAAAAAAAATATAAAAATATCAGATATGACTTTGAAATTATATTAATAATTAAAATGACAATTACAAGAATAATTAGGATAATTTACTTTTCAATATTAATCATAATTGAATCAA